GGGATGGTGGAGGTCTAAGCACCAACTGAGTCCGGGACTTAGGAGTTGGGCCTTGGAGTCCAAGTTTGGACGGAGACCTAGACCCCTTAACAGGAGAGTGGTGGGTTGGTCTTGCTTGTGCCAGAGGTACAAGCGGGGCGTGTGTTTCGGGTTACCCAGTTGGGATACATTGGTTCACGAATCACCATGTGATGCGGTACGACTTGGCTATGGTTTAGCACCGTAGTAAGAACTGAAATATGAAAGATAGTTAAATGGTTCTGATTGCTTAACACCTGCTCGAAAGTAGCATAAGTGCTTACATAAAATGGTTAGTTAATGAACTAATGATGACTGCTAAGAAAATTGAATATAAGGACGCACGTTTAGTAATGCTTCCGCAGATGCAATACCCCACAAGTCAGATAGCATTGCATATCCTTAGTCTTTTATTTTTCTCCTGTCGGGTAAGTCTTGCTGAGTACAATCGAGTACTTAGGGTTTTATTCCCCTGTTGCAGGTGATCGGAGGATACTTAGAGCTGACTCTTATGTGTGAAAACCTCCTGGTGGGCTCAGAGAGGATTCCTTTCACGCTACGACCGTAGTGTTTATTTATAACCCTCATGAAAGTTTTTTATAAGAAAAGATATAAAATCTGCTAGCATATCTTGTATAAAAATGTCCACTATGTTAATGCTCCATCGTGTCATTAAATTAATCCTGCTTTCTCTGTAACTCTGATAACATTGTTATATTCTGTTGTTATAATAAATTAAGGTAATATTCTGTTACTGTAATAAAGTGATATAAGAACTGACTTAAGAATATTGTAGGTTTTATTCTCTCATTTATGATCTTGATGAAAAAATGTGGATTTTTGAGTTTTCCCTTGGGGTGTGCTCGATGGAACTGCGTAGTTTAGCGTCATCTCTTGGATACTTGGTGTCTAAAGGAAGACAAGTACTCTTATGAGGCATTAGACTAAGGGTCCGTTTGGTTGGGCTTTTGACTTTGGCTTTTGGCCCCAAAAGCTAAAAGCCCAACCAAAGGGGCTGCTTTTCCAGGCGGCCTTTTCAGAAGCAGCTGCTTTTTCGTAGTATATTTTTTTAAAGCTGGTTTGATCATACTTTTGGCTTTCTGTTTTTTGAAATTGGTGGAATAAAAAGCTCTTACATAGCTGTTTCAAGAGAGATAAAGATATAAGATATATTTTATACTTGTTTAACCAAACAACTTTCAGCTTTTCTACAGCTCACAGCCCACAACAGCTTTTCCACAGCTCACAGCCCACAGCAGCTTTTTTCCACAGCCACAGCTCAACCAAACACACCCTAAGCGGTTCTGCCACAGCACCCCTGCATGCCATGCAACTATTGCGTCCACCACACATGCGATAATTTTTAGCGTAAAAAACAAACTAGGGCTTTGATGGCGAGGCCGCCGCGTGCCACAAGTTCGGAGCAAACCAAACACAGCACGAAACTTAGGCGCATAAGTTTTGGCTCGGTGTGGAAGTTGAGATAACCAATCAAACACATCCTTTAAATTAGGCCATGTTTAATTTCTAAAAAATTTTACCCTAAAGTGTCACATCGAATCTTGCGGCACATGCATGGAGTACTAAATGTAGAGGAAAAACAAAACTAATTGCACAATTGGGTGAGAAATCGCGAGACGAAACTTTTGAACCTAATTAGTCCATAATTAGACACTAATTACCAAATACAAACAAAAGTGGTACAGTAGCCGAACAGTAGCCAAACCCAAAAAAAATTTGGAAACTAAACGCGCCCTTACTCGAAGAATCATAACAGGGCCTAAGTCCTTCCTTTTTTTTAAAAAAAATGCTAGAATCCAATAAACATGACAGCCTATAACAAGCAAAACACAAGGAAAGGCGGGAGCACCATCTTTTTGCTCAAGACATATGGATGAAAACGGTACGGATATTTATTCGACCGTCCGTTCGACCGAACAAATATGAACACTTATCTGGATAATTACTCGGATATCCGTAATTTTTTTCGGATACGGATAATAAAACGGATATCTTAGGCGGATATCAAATACGGATGTAATATCATCGATATCCGGCGGATATCGGATAATCCGGTTAAGTATCGGATATATCCAGATATTTTCAAGCGGATATTATCCTGGATATTATTCAAACGACCTTGGATGGAGAAATGATCAAAATAAAATTGTAGATCTCAAAAGTTATGAAACTTTGTTGTTTACAATTTTTCGTTTGAAATCATTTAGTGCTTCAAAATTTAAACCGTCCAAACTTTCTCAAATGGAAAACTAGTTTATAAAGGCGTCATTTAAAAATCACAAATTTGAACTATCCAAACTATCTCAAATGGAAAGTTGACCAAAACAACAATTGTAGATCTTGATGAGTTGAACAAACTTGGTATTCAAAACTTTTCAATTTGAAGTCATTTAGAGTTCATAATACTAGAGTCAAAGTGTTGTTTTTTCATTTGACCAAATTTGACTTGGTCAAACTTGCTCAAATGAGACACTAAATGACCTCAGATGAAAAAACTCTGAATACCAAGTTTGATCATCTCAGCAAGATCTACAATTGTTACATAGTTCATTTTCCCATTTGAGAAAGTTTTATCAAACACTAGCCACAAATTCTTAAATCTCATATAGACTTTCTGAAATTATGTCAAACACTTGTGAAATTTAAACTATATTTTCTTCAAACTTTCTCAAATGAAAAAATAGCCTATATAAGGATTGTAGATCTTGATGAGATGAACAAACTTGGTATTCAAAACGTTTCAATTTGAGACAATCTAGGGTTCCGAAAACTAGTTTGTAAACATCGAAATTTAAAAATCATAAATTTGAACCGTCCAAAGTATCTCAAATGGAAAGTTGACCAAAACAACAATTGTAGATCTTGATGAGTTGAACAAACTTGGTATTCAAAACTTTTCAATTTGAAGTCATTTAGAGTTTATAATACTAGAGTCAAAGTGTTGTTTTTTCATTTGACCAAATTTGACTTGGTCAAACTTGCTCAAATGAGACACTAAATGACCTCAGATGAAAAACTCTGAATACTAAGTTTGATCATCTCAGCAAGATATACAATTGTTACATAGCTCATTTTCCCATTTGAAAAAGTTTTATCAAACACTAGTCACAAATTCTTGAATCTCGTATAGACTTTTTAAAACTATGTCACACACTTGTGAAATTTGAACTACATTTTGTTCAAACTTTCTCAAATGAAAAAATGGCCTATATAAGGATTGTAGATCTTGAATCCATGACCATGACTCCATGAGACCCATGAAGCCATGAGCTTGGCTATTTTTACTAATGCCGCGAAGATTGGTGCTTGTATGATGTTTGATGTATGATGTATCTGTATCTTTATCTTATTTGTTGCTTTACTCTTTAGTCTTTTGGCTTAATCTAGATGGATTATGGACTCATAGAGTGGTGTAATGGTTTGCGCACGTATGATATATATATATATGCTGCTTTTACTCAATATCCGAATAGATATTTGTATCTGACCTTCTCCGAAACCGATTCATACCGTATTTGATACTCATTATTCGTATCCGTAACCGAGTCAATCCGTATTCGTATATGTATCCGAACGCTATCCGTGTCCGAATCCAAATCCGAACAGAAATATAAAAACAAATATAATATGAGTGATATCTGTTCGTATCCGATCCGTTTTCATCTATACAAATCGAGTTCCTCATGCAGCCAGGGAGGTTGGATCTTTTTGGTGGAAGGATATATTGAGGTTGAACCTGTTGTTCAGAGGCATTGCTAAATGCACAATTGGCAATGGTCAATCAGTTTGTTTCTGGGGAGATATTTGGATGAATGATCAGATCATTGCAACAAAATACCCAAGACTTGCATCCTTTGCAAAATCAGAGAAAATCTCGGCTTATGCGGTCATGCAAGCAGAGGACTTAGACTCACTCTTCATGCTACCTTTCTCCAATGAAGCCTATCTTTGAATTTGTGAGTTTGCAAGAGGAATTGCAGATTATGGAATATGATGAGGAGGCGTCGACAATTGGTCACCCATCTGGGTGACAAATATAGCTCAAAAGGTTCTATTCATATGCCTTCAAGGAACTAGATGCACACCCTATTTTCAAAATAATATGGAAATGCAAATGCAGCCCACGAGTTAAGTTCTTTGCATGGTTAATTTTGGTTGATCGTCTTAACACCAAAGATATGCTCTAGAGGAGGCATCTAAACATTCGTGGGGACCCCGACATGTGTCATGTCTTGCAAAGCAGGAGTCCGAGACCATAGAGCACCTATTTTTTGAATGTTCTTTTGCAGGACTCGGGTCCAAGCTTGAAATCAATCGGGACCTCTCTCTGAATCCCTCGGACAGATTCATTCAAGCAAGATCTCGCCCACCGAGTTACCATTCTTCACTCAAGCCACGCTCATAGCGACATGGGAGCTCTGGAAAGTCCGAAATGATAAAGTGTTTGCAAGACGTGACCCAACATTAGCACTTTGGTGGTCGAACTTCAAGAGTCAATGTTTAATGCAATCTGTAAGATTCAAAGATGATCTTAGATCATCCTTTTGTGCTTAGCTAGATGCCTTTAGTTAAGCTTTGTAAGTATGTACCTGTACCTGTACTTCCTCTTTTATAAATGAAATCAAAAAGGCACTGTGGGGATCTCTCCCACAGTTTTTGTGTAAAAAAAAAAAGGAAAGAACGGGAGGCGGCGGGTCGTTAGAGAAGAGGACGCGCACCAACACAACACAAGCAGAAGCAGCCTGCCGGGGTAAGAGAGAAATATTTCTAGCTGCTTCTTTGTCTTCAAGAAAACGTCAGCAACACATAACTCCTCCCTCCAATAAATAGCGGCGGGCCTCCGTCGGCTCGGCCCTCTTCCACCCCGTTTCGCCGCCGCCACCCCCCCCCCTCCCCAGCCCAAAATTCCCCTTCCCCCCTCCTCGCCGCCGGCGCCGTCCATGCCTCCCCCTCCGCCAGCCATGGCCGCCGCGGGTCCCGGGCTCTACTCGGAGATCGGGAAGAAGGCCAGAGGTTCGTCCTCTTGGATTTGGGGCTTCCGCTTCTGTCATTTGCGCTTAATTGTTTCAGCTCGTGGGTTGCTAATATTGTTTGGTTGTTGTCGCGGTGCTTTTCCTCGTGGGTCCGCAGATCTCCTGTACAAGGACTACCACACGGACCAGAAGTTCACGCTCACCACCTACGCCGCCAACGGAGCTGTGAGTTTCCACTCTCCGCCTCTCCGGTGCTTGTTTTTGTGATGTCGCCTTGTTACTTTTTGGCCTTGATTTGGCATGATGCTAGTAGGTACGCTTTTCGTGGTGGCGGTGGAGTTTAGATCGCTATAAGGACTTTGTCGTGGCCTGATTTTAGTTGTCAAGGCAAGATTTTTGCTTGTGCGTGTAGTTATGAACTTGCGGCAGACTTTAGGTGTACTGCGTTTGATATTGATGCTGCAGTTATGTTTCTTTTTCGCCTTATTTCTGCATGGATATTTGCTTAAGTATTTGGCGTTATCTGGTCGGGGAGGCGATGTATTGCATTGTCCGGTGGTTCTGGCTTTAGATTTAGAGCGGATTGGCTTGAGTAACCTGAGATTTGGATGTAGAGAATGTAGTAACAGGCTATTAGCTCATGCGACGACTAGTGGACGGTTTAATCTTTGTATGGATAATATTGAGGGTGTTTGCCACATTTACTCTTGGTGGATCTTTTTTCTGTAGATTTAGTCCATGCAAGTGCAATGCTTACCAGTGGTTCAGTATGTGTGCTAGTGATGCAGTAGATATGGCAGCTGTTGTGGCAGTTTGAAAGCTACTTCTGCTTTCCAGAATTCCAGTGCTTGCTTCACTCAGATTTTTTTTTTCTGCTGCTTCAGTGAATTTGTTCTGGATTTCCTCATGAGTCATGACTCAGTGGGCATGTTGTGCATGTAGAGGACAACTCTATGTGGTTACATAGAGTACAACTTTTAGAACAAGATTGGTAACATAGAGTACAACTTTTAGAACAAGATATTGTGGTGTGGTCGCAATCTTATGATGCATGTGGGCTTGAATTTGGCTGGACAATCCTTAAATTAGCTTATGTATGTGGGCCTATGCCCTGTGGGGTGGAATTCACTTGAGCTGTGACATGCCCTTTGGCCATTGACTTGCCTGATTTACTTACTGCTGTTTATTAGGGAACTTGAGCTGACATGTCCATTGGCCGTTGACTTGTTTGATTCACTTACTGCTGTTTATTAGTGAACTTGAACACATTGTGGATTGCCTTTGCTAACTACTCCTATGTCTTTGAATGAGCTATAGACCAGTTATTCAGTTTCATGTCCACTCCCCAGTTTCTTATATATGCCACCTTACTAGGGTATGCTTGATGTCAGATAACTGTTAATTATTTTTATCTTATATATACTGGTGGGTGCTTCAGGTAGTTGTGCATGTCAGTTGTCATGCTGCAAGTCTGCAACTGCATTTATGTACTAATTCATATAGATCTATGTCTTCGTTGTGATGTTTTTTGTCAATCTAATTCTTTTGGATAGTGATTTCTGTACAATCTGATATTTTCCCTGCAAAGTGGTGTTAATTATGGTTACTTATGCTGTGGTAGGCCATTACTGCTGCAAGCACGAGGAAAGATGAAGCTATCATTAATGAAATCCAGAGCCAGCTGAAGCACAACAATGTGACTGTGGATGTGAAAGCAACTTCAGAATCAAATGTAAGTGGAAATGTCCGTTATTACTCGTTTATTACCACACCATTCACTAATTTCAATCTTCCCGTAACAGTTGCACTGTTTTCTTGTAAAATAATAATACATGGTTTTCCTTTTCACCAGTTGATAACTACAATCACAGTTCACGAGCTGGGCACACCAGGCCTGAAGGGAATTTTATGCATTCCTTTCCCATATCAGAAATCTGCAAAGGTATATGTTCCTTTCTTTTTCTAGGTCAAGCAACTTTTGTACTGGATTCACACTCCAATTCAATCTCTTTTCTCTTTTGTGGTTTTAGGCTGAACTCCAGTACTTGCACCACCATGCTGGCGTTGCTGCAAGTGTTGGCCTAAGTGCAAACCCTGTTGTTAACCTTTCTGGTGTATTCGGAACTAAAACTATTGCTGTTGGCGCTGATGCTTCCTATGATACTTCATCTGGGGACTTGACCAAATACAATGCTGGACTGAGCTACACTACTTCTGACTTTGTTGCTGCAGCGACTCTGTAAGTAGTTTGTTCCAATCCTTAACATTTTCTGTTTGTAACTGTTATTTGTGTCCTACGAATCACATCTGCCCTTAGCACCAATGATATCTCTAGGGAATTTATAAAGTAGGAAAATTGTGCATGTCAAAGTGCATACTTCGTTTCTGCTTCTTGTACTGTCCTCCGCGTGATGTATCTTTTAGTAGCACACATTGTGACAGATGTGCGGCTGGCATAAATAATTCTGGTTATGACACTAAGCTGATTCTGCATTTCAGGAACCAAAAAGGAGACAACATTGCTGCTTCCTACTACCACTTGGTGAGTCCAACCACAGCTGTTGGAGGAGAGCTGAGCCACAGCTTCTCGACCAACGCGAACACCATCACCTTTGGGACGCAGCATGCCCTGGACCCTCTGACCACTGTGAAGGCACGCTTCAACAACTATGGCATGGCAAGCGGACTGATCCAACACGAGTGGAGGCCCAAGTCATTGGTCACCCTCTCCGCAGAGGTGGACACCAAGGCAATTGAGAAGAGCTCCAAGGTTGGGCTCTCCCTGGTCCTCAAGCCCTGAGGGTCACCAGCTTCTGCTTTTGGGATGTTAGGTTTATTTTTTTTTTATATCAGCAGCTGGAGTCCAGCAAACTGAACTTGTCAGAATTCGTTGCTTGTTACCCTGCCCTAAACTACCTGAGAAGTTTCTGTTACAATTTACGTCATGCTTCTGACTATTTTTGCCATTCACGGGCACATGGTGGAAAACTATGCAATTTGTTTACTATTGGGTGATGTTTGGCTCACCCCTTGAATTTGGAGAATGTTCAATATGGCTCACCAGTCACACTCTCAGATTTCAACTATTTGATTGATCGCTTCTTTTATTCACGCCGTGTTTAGTTTGGGAAGTTTGGAATCTGGGCTACTGTATCACTTTTTGTTTTTATTTGGCAATTAGTGTTCAATCATGGACTAATTAGGTTCAAAACGTTCGTCTCGCAATTTCCAACCAAACTGTGCAATTAGTTTTTTTTCGTCTACATTTAATACTTCATGCATGTATCGCAAGATTGAATGAAATGGGTACTGTAGCATTTTTTTTGGATTTTGGGGTGGTAACTAAACACGCGCTCATACAAATCACAGTTGTCTCATGCCTCGTTGCTGAAGCTCGCTCCTTACGATAATTCTGTCTTGCCTGTCAGAGCAATTTTTTTTTTAATTTTAACACTTTCTGTGAACTAATTTTAAATCTAACACCGGCTGTTTTTTATTTCTAAAACTAACACTTTTGGCCGCGCCTATTTCTATGGCGCAGTGAAACGCATATGCCGCGTCATACATGGTGGCGCGACGGGAGGATGACGTGGCGACGACCGGAGGCGCTGACCGATGACGTGGCAGGGTCTATCGCGCCACCGATCTTGGCGCGGCGCCGCCGCGCCATCCATCACGGCGTGGCAGAGCCGGCGACTGTGCGGGCAGTAAAAAAAAGATCATGAGGCGAGGGCCTGACCTGAGCGCGATGGATGGATGGCGGATGGGACAACACCTGTCCCGTTCGCTACGCACTGTGACGCGCACCCCCATGCGGCATACAGAGGACTGACAGGCTATCCGCACTTGGACTGCGACTTCCCAGTCGGCTTTTTGATGGCCTACAGACGCACTTGTTCGGACTTGTTTAGATTGGGATTAGGAATCAGTATTTGGTACTGTAGCATTTTCGTTTGTATTTGATAATTATTGTCCAATCATAGCCTAACTAGGCTCAAAAGATTCGTCTCGTAATTTACAATCAAACTATGTAATTAGTTATTTTTTTATCTATATTTAATACTCCATGCATGTGTCCAAAGATTTGATATGATGAAGAGAAAGTGAAAAAACTTGCAATCTAAACAAGGCATTCTTTTCATTTTTCCCTACATGCATGATGATTGCTGTGTTTATCCTCGATTAAAAGGAGTCAGCTGCATGCTCTGTTGCGGTTCAGCTTGACAGCTTCGGCTCGAGGCCATATTTGGTTTTCTTAAGTCAGGTGATTGAAAATCAGTGACTTATAAGTTATGACTGTTTGGTTGTAGATGACTTATAAGCTAATAAAAGGTGTGGGCCCCACGTGAAAAAGGGTAGCTTATAAGTTTTAAACATGAGTGAACCAGCTTATTTCTTATAAGCAGGGGTGACTTATAAGTTGATGGTGTTTGGCAAAATAAGTCACTTATTTTACTTTTTAACTTATAAGTAGATGACATAGGGCCTATTTGGTTCGCCTAGTAGCTACTAAATTTAGTAGTTTTTAGTTACTTGAGTAACTTTTTAACCAAACACTATGACTAAAAGCTACTAAAAAGGCTTTAGTCCTCTCTAGTAACTCTGGAGTTATTAAAAGTGACTAAATTATTTAGTAGCTAATAAAGTTTAGTATGTCGAACCAAACGCCCCCTTATTTGGAAACAAACAGGCCCTGAGTTCCATGCGCCATTCAGGTGTGGCTATTGTCAGAGCTGGCTCCTAACGAAGTTTTTGCAGCGAACGTGCCAAGCATCTGTTGCATACCAAAAAGTTCAAATAAATCATAAAGGGTGATACGATGAATGTTGGTTATATACTCCCTCCGTTCTAAATTATTAGTCGTTCCAATTTTCTTGGAGTGTCAAAATATCTTAAATTTGACTAAAAATATAAAAAAAATTATAAAGATTTATGGCATCAAATATGTATATTATAAAAATACAATTAATGATACTTATTGGTATCATAAATGTTTTATTATATAATTTTGGTCAGATATTTTAGCTCTCTAAGAAAGTTAGAATGACTAATAATTTAAGACAGAGGGAGTACTTAGATATGCCTATTAGATTCTAAAATCTTAAAATCCTTGGTCTATCGGTCGTAGTAAGTGTGAGAAGCTCATATTTGATATTGTTTCATTTAGCTTTTTGGTTTTCAAAGCAATAAGGAGCTGTTTGGGAGGACTTTCAGGGGCTCCGGGTCCTCCAACTCATACATTATTCATAACTCATACATTGTTCTAATATGATTCAATATTTTTTTTCTCTCTTCTCCAAATGAACTAAGAGTCAAGTTGAGTCACTATTTTTGACTCCTCCGGCTATATTTCATCGAAGCTATTTTTTCTCTCTTCTCTAAATGAACTAAGAGTCAAGAGGAGCCACTCTTTTATTTTTCTCCTCCGGCTCCGGCTCCTCCAACTCATCGAAGCTGTTTTTTCTCTCTTCGCCAAATGAACTAGAAGTCAAAAGAAACCGTTATTTTTCTCTCTTCGCCAACTCATAGAGGTCAAAAGAAACTCATCGAAGCCGACAGTATAATAACAGCTTTTAGGTTTACAATTAATCACTAAAAAATATTATTTAAAAAAAATTCGTCATGGGGCTGGAGGCATGCAGGCATGGACAGTGCCCTGCACCTGCATGACATTCTTGAATTCACCCCTACCCGCCCACGCCACACCGGACATCATCGAGTGCACTTGGACCCGTCACGGGCCCCTCGTCCGTCCCTACCAGGCTAGCAGTAGTACAGCTGCACCGCACGGCCGCATATGCTCCCAGCAAAACGGCATGGCGCCCCTGCTGCTGCTCTACCGCAGGGCTGCACTGCATGCGTCAGCCTCAGCCATCCATCCATTCCATCCCGGCACGCTGCAGCATCTCCGGCCGACCGGCCCGGCGTTCCCGGTGCTGCCGTGCCTCGCCTCGAGGTCGAAAGGGACGGCGACACGACGGTGCGTCATGCGTGGGAATTGGGAAAGCAACGATGAGACGAGGCATGGCCGCATTGGGGGTGGTCATAGAGCGTGCGCGTCACAGTGCGTGGCGAGCGGGACAGGTGTTGTCCCATCCGCCATCCATCCATCACGCTCAGGTCAGGCCCTCGCCTCGTGATCTTTTTTTTTACTGCCCGCACAGTCGCCAGCTCTGCCGCGCCGCGGCGTCGCCGCGCCAAGATCGGTGGCGTAGCAGACCTTGCCACGTCATCGATCAGCGCCTTCGGTCGTCGTCACGTCATCATCCCGCCGCGCCACTATGCATGACGCGGCACAGGCGTTTCGCCGCGCCATGGTAATAGGCGCGGCCAAAAATATTAGTTTTAAAAATAAAAAACAGTTGGTGTTAAATTTAAAATTAGTTCACAGAAAGTGTTAAAATTAAAAAAATATTCGATTTGGCAAACAAGATACCGAACAAACAGTACATGCAGGTGGCTGTGACTCGGTAGGCAGATATACGGAACAAACAGAAAACGCAGCTGGGATTTTCCATGGATTATTAACCTTCGCTGATCAGGTTGAGCGTGCGTGTGAAAGGGAAGCTAGCAGTTGAAAATTTTGAAATTTACATTACATGAACAGCAACTATTGCAGAGATGACATGTTCCCAAACCCATTCCAGCCATCCAACCCCTCGCCATCATCGTAGCACGCGGCGATCTCTCCATGGAACCCAGCATTCCGCGCGTGGCCGCCACCGCCGCCTGACGAGAAGAGATCGCACATGTCCGGAGGAGCCTCTCCCTGGAAAAAGTTGTGGTACTCATAGGCGTCTCCTGGTCCCGGATGAGCCGCAGCGGCAGCGGCATCTTCCCTGTCCCTGACGCCCTCCTCGGCGTCGGAGTTCTTCTCGACCAGCTGCCTGAACATGGACGACTTGAGCAGGAGGCTGAGCGCGGTGGAGGAGCCTCTCCTCCTCATGCCGCCGCCGGCACCGGGAGACACCATGGACATGGAGGCGTCCTGGCCGCCGCCGCCGCCCGGCGGCGCGGAGCCGTGGTCCAGCAGGAACGGGTTGCCTCGCGGGAGCATCTGGGCCGTCTCTACCGGGTGGAGGAGCTGCTCGGCCGGAGCCGCCTGCATCACGAGAGCATCCGGGTTGAAGGCGGCCGGAGCACCGCTGGGTTTCAGCCATGTGATGTAGGATCTCAGGTCGAAGTTGGTGACCGCGTTCACGCCTTTGTACTCTATCGCCGCGATGTCGTATGCGCGGGCGGCTTCTTCTTGAGTGCCTGGATCGGAGCAGGTTTAATTTTTTTTAATCTAATGTGAGTGATGACGATGATGCATGATGGTGTTTCGATGACAAAGTTGTGTGCTTTGTTTTGTTATTAGAGTCTAATTGAAGGTAGAAATTGTGTTTGGGATGTGCTTACTGTAAGTTCCTAGGTAGAGGTACTTGTTCCCGAAAACGCGCCCGATTCTAGCTTCCCATCTCCCGTTCTGATGATGTCTGAATGGAACATTTGTGCATTGTCTGATGAAACTTTGAGGCTATGAATTTATGGAGACATTGAATCATTTTACTTTTGCTGTAAAAAATATACCTGGCAACCCCTCTGTATTTGGACACTCCTCTTGAAAAGCCACTGCTCTTCCTGTGGTCAAGATAAACTTGTTTCAGAATTTGAACTCTAATGATTTCAGTCCTCTAAAAAAATCCTCTGAAAAATGATTTTTTCCCCTCCAGGGGCAATATGCACCTCCTCAGTGATGCAAGGTACTCTTCCTTCGTGAGGTTCTCCATTATCTTCAGCTCCTTCTCATAGTCCATGACCTGAGAGACATACAAACTCAGCCAAGTCACTAGCACAGTCATGTGCAAAATACATGCCAAACTTCACTAGTCCAGTGTGGTTCACTTGCAAACCGGATCGATGTATCACTAGCTAGTTAGTCACTTGCTTTACAGGACAGTGAAGATGTTCCAAGGCTATACCGGGAAGTTTGTGTAGGTGGTGGGCCCCCAGTACTTGAGAGCAGCAAGGTCGTAGGCTCTGGCAGCAGCCTCCTCCTCATCGTAAGCTCCCAGATACACTGTTCGTGATGATCAAGCAACCGTATATATCATCTGCTGTCTTTATTTTATTATTATTTTTTGTTCCTGAAACTGAAAGGAACCCCTGAGAGATGTTCCAGATCGAGAACACCTACCCTGTTTGCCCTTCTTCCGCTGCGTCGGATTCCACGAGTTCTTGTCCCACAGATGCGCCTCGAAACGACCTGTCCATCGATGCCTGCAACAAACACTTGCAGCTTAGCTACAAGCTTCCTAATCACCAAGAAGTACATGCATGCATGCTGTCCATGTCCAAACTTGCAGACTCGAAGGAAGTCGTGCTAGTTTGCTTGTATGTGAGTGTGAGGTGAGCTAGCGGAGCTACCTGCTGACCCCACGGAACCTGGAGCTCCTCTTGACGGTGATGCTGGGCAGCGGCTTGACAATGCCGCCGCCGGCAATGGGCGCGAGCAGAGGCGGCTCCCTCCTCCTCCTCCTCACCACCACCTGATGATGCCCCCCCCTCGCCGCGTTCCGGCGCGCCGCCGATGACCACGCCTGCAGGTGCCGACGACGACGACGGCCCCGGGTAGCAGCTCTCGATCTCGCTCTTCACCAGCATCATGCCGCTGCTCTCCATCAATTCTTCCCTGCCGCCACTCCGCTCCTCGTCCTCCCTGCTCAACGACGTACGGCACCTCCCAGCAATATAATGCAGCACCGAACGAACGAACGAAGGAGCTCAAAATCAGCTGCTATTGCTGCGACGCGGTGAGACGCCAGAACCCGCCGGTGCGCCGCGCCTTATATACACAGCCGCCGAGCCGCGCTACTGCCGCGCCCGGTGACAGGGTTTGTCCGCAGGTGAGCGCGCGACGACAAGGCGTTGATGGTTTCCACGCCGCAACGGGCCACGCCCCGTCTGTCTCCGCTATGCCGCTTTGTCCTCGCTCGCGTTTGGAAACATCGAGTTGAGCTGCAGCGCTCCTTTGTCAGGTGGTGGCTGCGAGACGGACGGGCTGCGTGCGCGCGCGCTGCTCGATCCAGGCGTGCGTGCGTGTGTGTGTACGCGCGCGCGTGTTTTTTACGGTTTCCCTGACAGCATCCAACATGCTGCAACAAGGAGGCTAGTATCATTCCGTTTCCCCGGTTTAGTATGGTTTTGGCGCTGCGTCATGGCGACAATCGACGACAAGATAGCGCAAACCGATCTGAGAAACCCGTGCGGGGATTTTGGCTGGGCTAAGCTTGTCCGCGCCTGTACGACGCGCCCAGGCGTCTTGTACGGTTCACCGGGCGGGTGAGAAGTGAGCGGCTGACACACTCGTCGTCCTTAGAATATTTTGTTGAGCTCAACAACAGCAACTGCTCTTATCATTTGCTACTAGCAGATCCGCCATCCTGCGTTTGGTCGGACGAGACCAGCGAGAGCCAGCCAACTCGGCAATTCCGCCGGACGTTACAGGCAGGCAGCAGGGCAGGCACGGTCCGCCGCGCCGACGCCGTCGCGTTCGCGTACGTGACGTGATTAAAAAGAGTATTTGGAGACCTTTTTTTCTAGTAGTATGTGTGGTAGAGGAGTGGCACGAACTCCTCCCGGTGCCGTCCAATCTTCGTTGGTGTGCTGATCAACGGCCTAAGGTGTGCCAAGATGGGTACAATGTGAGTTCAAAAAAAGATGGGTACAATGCACTTGAGTACTTTTGTTTCGATTAGTAGACTCATGAATCCATGTGCTTCTATTAGCTTCACCATGTTGACCCCCCCGAGATGTGGAAGCCCATCAGACCATCTTCCACTGAGAATAACTCCATAACGCGGTTTGGACTAGCACTCAAAGAAATATGGAATTACCTTGACAGTTCAGGTTAGTACTCAAGAATATGTATTTCCTTGGAAGTTTTTTTCAACCCCTAAGGTAATGATACCTTTCGATTCAATTTCGCCCCTCAAGAAAATTGTTGTCCGCTAAGGATATTCCATTTTCTGGTAGCGATTCTCTAATCATCAAAACTAATGGAATTTGTTAGAAATAAGCCTAATCACTAATTAAGTTGATGATCAAGCCTTTGTCATTTTTATGAGAGTTAATGGTCAGATTTGATGATGTAATCATAGTCAACAAAGAGCAATCCTAATGCTAGGTAAACAACTATCGGTGGTTCTAGCGCTCTATTTCAACAATTAATGTAGACCCAATCAAGATAACGATGACTAGGTGCGAACGGATGGCACACAAGAGATTGCGTAGCATAGGGGACAACAACGTAGATGCAACGGTGAGGAGACACACAGGTAGTGATGTTGCTTGAGGAACATGTGCATAGTACTTGATAATGGATGTGTCACATGAGTCGAGTGGATCACGCACTGTCGATCGATCAAACCGAGTATGCGTGAGGTGAGATGATGATGGAAGAAGTTGATGAGGTGTCTGTTAAATATTTTGTGGTGATGACGAACCGATGATATAGTTGTGTGGTTGCGGCCGTGATGGCTATGAAGCGATGTGGGAAGGTATCGCTCGGCGTCACCTGCCCGCCCCAGCCACATAGTCAAGGGGGTAGAGGTAGTTTAATCGATGCCGATGTTGTAGTAGATACATGCAAGGTCGACGAGTAGTGAGTGACTCAACCCAGATCAGCGATCAGAAGAAAACACATCAGGTGATCAGATGTTGACCATGGGCTCGAGCACAACACAATGGCCTGATGTCGTGACGGTGTAACGATCAGCCACCACGGTGCCGCGGCCTAGTGTCAACGGCGGTAGCCCACCAAGATGAGGACAAGCGTGAGGAGGTAGGCCTAATTTCTTGCTTGACGGCAATGATGACAATGATGGTGGTCAGATTAATATGATGTGCCACCTAAATAGTGATGTTACCCCCAACACACTGCAAATTAAGCTCATGGCCTTGGGGCGTGTAGTGTGGGAGCCAGCAATGGTTAGGGTTAGAATGTGAACCTAGACTTGTGATACGGAGGAATAGGTTTGGTGAAATAGTCTATCGCCCATAAACAGATTATTATATAGGAGGAGTAAATAACTTAGGGACAAGAAGCATCTCTTAGAGACAAGGTAAAATGGGATTGTACGATCTTAATCTATCATAGGTGGAGATATCCCAGTACACTCTAACAATATCTATTGAAAAAATAGTATTATTCTTGTACTCGACATGACAAATTTGGAAAAACATTTAGGTTGCTGGAGGCCACCATATCGTTCATGCCAATATTTTTTAATTTCTTTTCCATGGGAAGTCAGGGTATGGGAGAGGCAAGACATACTTGGCAGATGAATCTGCTAGCTGCACATAAAGTTTCTAGAGTAGTATTCCCTCCGTCCTTAAAATACCGTAATTCGGCAATTATAGGACCAAACGCAGATACCAATGCAGCTAGCGAAATTATCTAAACACCTCTGTTTATAGTTCTTTGACCTGTTGTCTATCACGATTGCAGTGCATACTTCCTCTGCCCTATGGGAGAATGCTCTAAAAAATAAACGAATGGACAGAAAGGTGTCATGTCCGCCGTGCATGAGGGTTATAGGCTTTGCAGTCAAGTGAGTTCTACGTGCTGACACCTTAACCTGTATTCTAGTACTTGTGTAAAAATGCAAACGTTTTGGAACAAGATTTGAACCACTCGGTTGCGGTCTTTTTGGGACGGGAGTAGATAAAACTGGATCCAACGGCCTTTCTTCTCCGAGGTGAGATCTAACAGGTGGAGTTATGCCGATGATGTTAGAATGGTTCTTTCGCTATAAGGAGTCCATGAACTTCAATACTGTATTATTTACAATCCAGATATATCATCAAATATGAAATATTTTCACTCTCAATCTTCCAAACAAACAAACAAATATTTTCACTCTCACGTACGCCTCCTGCGTTACAATTTATTTTACATAATCACAAACATCACTAGCATAGAAAATACGTGCTCACTCACAAAACCGTGCGCAAATTCAAGCCTCAACACTGTTGACTGTGGTATACAGATAGTGCGTGCGCCTAGCCCCTCCCGCCGAACCGCGCCTTGAGCTTGATGACCTGCAGTTCGTCCAGGGTGGTCACCTTGTTCACGACCTCCGTGGGCAGGTCGTTGGCGAAGAGCGCGAAGTCGAGGATCTGCAGGCCGGGGTTGTCGCTGCTGAACGAGGACAGCGTCACCGCCGTGGCGTTGCCGTGGCTGTACTGGAAGTGGAGCTGTCCCCGCGGGAGCACCATCAGGTCGCCGGCGTACAGCGTCTTGGTGTACACCCTGTTGAGCGCGGCGCTGATGAAGCCGGAGACGACGCTGCCCTCGACGACGTAGATGAGCTCGGTGCCGCCCGGGTGGGAGTGCAGCGGCGTGGCACCGCCCGGGACCATCACCATCCGCGCGGCGGAGATGCCCAGCCCGTTCAGGCCGGGGAACGTGGTGACGATGGCAGAGCCCAGGGAGATCTTGAAGGGTTTCAGCGCCGTGCCGGGGCTGCCGAGTCCGCCGTAGTGGAAGTCGTCGGCGGTCACGTCCTTCGCGGGCTTGCACGGGCAGGGACGGAGCTTAGTAGAGGCAAAACTGGGCTCCGGCCCCTGCTTGTCTTCGCAAAATCACGAAGGACTAGTAGTAGCATGCTGATGAAGACTAAAGTAGGAAAAGCCTAGTAGTATCTGAGAAGAGGCAACAGAGAGCAAGAGACGCAGGAGTAGGCAATACTCAGGCCCCGTTCGCTAGTCTGAACTTTGGCTGAAACTGGCTAAAAAACACTGTTCCGGCTGAATTGGTGTGAGAAAAAACACTGTTCCGGCTGAAAAAATAAGCCGAACAAGCCAAACTTTAAGACAAGCGAATGGGGCCACTGTAGTGTTTAGCATTGAATTAGCCCCCCTTAATATTGGGTCACGCTCCGCCACTGTGCACGGGTACCCGCCCGGCGTGGCGCTGGCGGCTAGGTCGGCGATACAGAAGTCCTGGTACAGGGCGAGGGAGGAGAAGGGCAGCACGGAGAGCGTGGACACGACGTCGAGGAGGAGGAGCTCGGCCTTGGCCATGGTTGCAAGATTAGATTTCTGTACTTACGTAGCTACGAGTTGGAGCTAGAGCTAGTTCAAGCTGTATGTTTGGACTCGTGTCTCTGACGATGATTGTGGATTTGTGGTACGAGGTATATATAAGAGGGTTGTGTGGCTCCGTCGATGTTTGGTACGAGGTATGGCGTGTTCACGCTTCCTTTGCCCCGGCGGCTAACTGGTCACAATATATCGAGAACTTGTATATATAATCACCACTAGCCCTGGCTGCTAACTGGTTACAATATATCGAGAATTATATATAATCAGCACTAGCGGAGAATAATGCGTTTATCAGTTGAAGAACTAAGAATCGAGGGCCCAGTGCAGCTGCGAACAGACGGATTGTTCGCTGGTGACACAATCAGAGCACTTTCGAGGAAGTCAACCAGTGCATGCATGTTGTTTAATTTGTAACTAATCCAATCCAACCATGGGGAATGAACATTGGTACATCAGGCTATAAGACCCATTTATTGTGTTTTATTGAGGTTGAGGGTGCAGAGAATGCCTAGAAATGCAGGTTATATTATTCATTCACGGGCCACTCGCTCTCGGTTCCTGACTACTCCGGCCCTGCCAGCTTCTCTTCTCTTCCCCTTTTATTCCCCATGATGAAATGGAATGGTCTCTCCTCGTCTAGCTAATCAAGTCGCGGAAGGAAGCGCCCAGCTCTTGGGCACAGGGCCGATGTCATATATGATCTCCTGTGGCAGGACCAGACAAGTTTGATGGCTTCCAGAGTTCCGATGCCTGCGCCTCGCGGATCACCAGCCGGGCCAAACCTGGATTTTACAGTGGGATGGAAATGTTACGTTGCCATATATAATTCATGTATATCTACTTGTAACCGTGCATGTCAAGTTGGTTTTGGGTCTTGGCTCACCTACCAGTGGTTCTGTGGAGCGCCAGTGGTCCTCGCTCGAATTCCAGCGTACGTTGTCCCGTTAACAGATCTCCCAAGTACGTCCTGAAAATAAACCAAGATAAGGAAAACGTTCTGAAATCATTCAAACGTTTGGTTACTGACAGTGATGCTTTCCGAGAATCCTGAGAGTATGGTGAAGAAATCCTAACTTTATCAAACTAGTTCCATGTGAGAAATGCGGGGTTAACCCAACTTGCAGAGAGTTAAACCAACTTTCCTGCAGAAATAGCGGATCGTTTGAAACTACTGCAGCCGTCAGATGCGCATTCATCCTTTCACAGGCTTCTAAGACCAATTCAAGCTGATCCTCAGAGTATTCTGTAACTACCTGGATTATGGAATCAGAATAGGTCAGTCTATATATTGCTATAAAAACATTAAACTTAAGCAGCCCTATAATAGAATAAATCAGCACCATAGAAACATGTACTAGTTACCTCCTGACAAAGCATATGTCAGTACGGGCGATAAGGACGACAACAAAGACTGGTTTAAAAAATATGCATGCAGCTTTGAATGAATGTAGGAAAAAAACTACAGGTACATGTTGCAGTCCAAAACAAATGATAGTATTTTGAACTGTGCCTTTTTCTGTAGTCGTGGACATTTTCCATCTCAGGTAGATGCTTCAGGAAGGGGTTAATAATTGCTATACTGGACTGATATTAGTGTCTGAAAGTTTCTCACGAAGATCTTTTTCAGGTCCACCTAACTTTGGATTCTGTTGGGTGGAAGGTGTTCCAACCATATTCGCGCCGAATCGGCTAGGAACAATGGAAGGTTGCGGATAATGAAATCGTTATTATCTGCTCCACCGGCTTGGCAGACAAGCCAATAATCCTCGAGCCACAGTCCGGGGTTTGTTTCCCCGGAGTACTTCGGGATGTTGGTTGGTGGCCGGTACCTTGGCGGAAAGGCAGCGTTGAGGATGTGTCGACCGAAAGCTTGAGGCCCCGGCAGGCCGGGGCTCAGGCTTCGGTCCTCGCTGCTGTCGTAGCGTCCGCCACGACGAGGGTGATAGCCTCTCATGAATGCTTCATGACTGGTACCACCGAGGGACACGTCGAAAGCATCCACGAGGAGGAGGCTACCCCGATGAACGACCTCAACGACGAGGTCGAGGGGGATGCAGGAGTCCCACCCTGCCTGGGGGTGGAGCAGATGAAGGCCTGTCACCTAGAGCTTGAGGAAGCACGACTCCAGCTCAAGCAGGAACGTGCGGAGCTCGATCGCGAGATCGAGCGCCACGGAGACGGAGGGCGCGCACGCGCCATGGCCCGTGACGTGAACCGAAGGATCGTCGAGGACGATCAAGTGCTCCCGCACTTCGCCCGGGTAAGCCAGAACATCGCTGCTGTGGTAGCCTTGCTCAGGGGGCTTCCGGGGCCTACGATGCCCGAGGATCGTCGGGCCTACCGTGAGATTCGCACGTTGCTCGAGCGTGCGGCTGCGCAGCAGGCCGAGAGCTCGCTGTCTCAGTGACAGGAGCTCAATGCTAGCCAGCGCACACCCTCAGTACGACTCAACAAGGACGCATCAGTCCACCAGGCGCCGCACGGAGGCAGGCCACGCATCACGATTTCGGTTCAGGAGCGTCTCGGCCACAACCATGACTCGCGTGACACCCTCGACGCCCGTTGGCGTACCCGCAGCGATGCGGGGGAGGGGGGCAGCCGTGGCTACCACCCTCACCATGGTGGGCGCTACGACCGTGAGGAGGATCGAAGTCATAGCCCTGAACCAACGGGGCCCCAAGCTTTCGGTTGGCATGTCCTCAAGGCGGCGCTCCCACCCCGATACCGCCCGCCGACGAACATCCCAAAAGACTCTGGGGAAACAAACCCCAGATTGTGTCTCAAGGACTACCGGCTCGCCTACCGGGCCAGCGGTGCAGTCAATGATGACTTCGTCATCCGTAATCACCCCCTGTTCCTGGCTGACTCGGCGCGAACATGGCTGGAGAACCTTTTGCCCAACTGCGTTCAGAGTTGGGCGAACCTAAAGCAAATCTTCATGGGGAACTTCTAGGGCTTTTACGCGTGCCCTGGGAGCCCCTGGGACTTGAAGAACTACTGACAGAAGTCGGGAGAGACTCTCCGCGAGTACATCCGATGCTTCTCCCGGCAGTGCAACAAGCTCCCCAATGTCACCGATGCCGACGTCATCGGAGCCTTCCTGTCAGGGACCACCTGCGAGTCCCTGGTCCATAAGTTGGGACGTAAGGGCTCACGGACTACCAAGGAACTCCTCGACATCGCGACCAGCAACGCTTCCGGCGAGGAAGCAGTTGGAGCAATTTTTTATCGCTCCAGAGGTAAGGCGAAGCGAAACGAGGACGCCGATGAAGGCCCCTCCGACCGTTCAAATAAGAAGAACCGGAAAGGGCGCGGGGGCTCGCTCATGGCCGCCGCCGAGCGAAAAGTTGGTCGAGCACCGGCCGAGGGCACCCCCGATCACTTTGACGAGCTGCTCAAGAGGCCATGCCCAAACCACGCCTTCCCCGTCAAACACATGTACAAGGACTGCTCCCCGATGAAGCGTTTCTTCACCGGCGGCTCCAAGAAATGGGAGCAGAAGAAGAAACCCGAGGTAGAAGCCGACGACGCTGGAGAGAAGGGTGGTGACTTTCCGTCGCCAGATGGCTACCTCATGATCTTTGGTGGGCCAAAGGCATACAACTCCAAGTGCCGACAGAAGCTCGCGCGTCGAGAGGTCTACGAAGCCGAGCCCGCCGCGCCCGCTTTCCTCAAATGGTCAGGGTCTCCCATAACCTTCGACCGATCCAACCACCCAGATATTGTCACACACCCAGGCAGGTACCCGCTTGTCGTTGACCCTATCGTCAGCATGAAGCGGCTCACCAAGGTACTGATGGATGGAGGCTGTGGCCTCAACATCATATACACCGAGACGCTCGACGCTATGGGCATCGACCGAGCGCGCATCCGACCGACTAGAGCGCCTTTGCATGGCATCATGCCTAGAAAACAGGCCATGCCACTTGGGCAGATCGATCTGCACATTACCTTCGGGGGTCCATCTAACTATAGGACGGAGGCCCTCACCTTTGAAGTGATTGGGTTCCACAGAACCTACCACGCCATCCTAGGACGACCATGCTACGAGAAGTTTATGGCCGTACCCAACTACACCTACCTCAAGCTCAAGATGCTAGGCTCGTGTGGGGTCATCACCGCTGGCACTTCTTTCTAGAGGGCCTATGAGTGCGAGCTCGCTTCAGCCACCCTCGCTTCCGAGGAGCTCGCAGCCATCGAGAAGGACATCGCTGAAGGAGCGCCCGACACGAAGCAGGTGGCCAGATCCTTTGAGCCTACGGAGAACGTCAAGGAGGTCCTCCTCGACCCCGACAACTCCGCCGACAAGATGGTGCGCATCGGCACCGCCCTCTCCCCCAAGTAGGAAGGCACGCTCATCGACTTCCTCCGTGCCAATCGAGACATCTTTGTGTGGAAACATTCAAATATGCCAGGAATTTCGAGGGAAGTCGCCAAGCATGCCTTGAAGATCAGGCCAGGTTCTTGGCCGGTCAAACAACGTCTACACCGCTTCAACAAGGAAAAGTGGAGGCTCATCGGTGAGGAAATCGCTAAGCTCTTAGCGGCTGGTTTCATCAAGGAAATATACCACCTAGAGTGGTTGTCTAATCCCATTCTTGTAAAAAAGAAAAGTGAGAAATGGAGAGTGTGTGTCGGCTACACGAGCCTCAATAAGGCTTGCCCAAAGGATTCATTTCCTTTGCCACGCATAGATCAGGTAGTTGACTCGACCTCAGGGTGCAAAACCCTATGCTTCCTTGATGCGTACTCCAGGTACCATCAGATCACGATGAAAGAGTCTGACCAGCTCATGACCTCTTTCATCACCCCGTTCGGATCGTTCTGCTATGTTATGATGCTGTTCGGACTCAAGAACGCTGGGCTACGTACCAGCGTTGCATGACCAAATGCTTTGGAGACCTCATCATGTGGACCATTGAGGCTTACATGGACGACATCGTAGTCAAGTCCAAGCAGATCGACCAGCTCATGGTTGA